TTCGCCCCAGACCAGACCCTTCTCATACTCTCATTCCTGGCTGCTCATCCTCCTGCCTGTGTGGCTGCCTGCTTGCAAGACCTCCACTGCCCATGCTCACAGCCGCCTGCACCACTCATAACACTTTCCCTGGTGGTATGTGTGGTACGGTGGTAGCAAGGGAGTGGGAGTGGGTCAGAAGCAATCGGCCCTCTGAGAAACCTTGGGCTCTGGCAGCTGCCCCACCTTAGGGTATCCTGTCACTGGCCCTGGTACTACTTTCTGTTCCATCACTCTTCTGCCTTATTTTGCCCTGACCTGGATAGCCCAGGCTAGCCCGATCCCATCAGATCTCAGAAGCTAAGCAGGGCCGGCCTTGGCTACTGTTTGGAAGGGTGACCTCCAAGGAACACCAGGGTTGTGAGCAGTGTTCCCTCTAAGTTGAGTTAGTGTGAGCTAGCTCACCATTTTTTAGCATCCAGCTCACAGGTTTTTGTCTTAGCTCAGGAAAGATGGCTCCAGAGCAAACTGATTTATGCAGTTGCCAAACGGCTCGCTCACAACTTTAATGCCAGTAGCTCACAAAATAGAATTTCTGCTCACAAGACTCCACAACTTAGAGGGAACATTGGTTGTGAGGCAGAGGCAGGCAATGGCAAACCACCTCTGAGACATCTCTTGCCTTAAAAACAAGTCTAGCTCGCCACCTAGTGGTGCATAATGCTAAAAGAGCTGGAACTTCTGACTGCCAGGAAATCTTAGGATCTCCTGGCTACTCTACACACACTGCCATATGATAATTATTAACTTTTTGTAGCCTTTGCTGGTCCCATTGGAAAGGGATAAACCAGAATCCAATGAAGTCAAAGTAGCTTGTTCTTTAGGTTACCCTAATAACTTAATGCAATAGTTTACTGTTCAGGTATATAACTGTGTGTTAAGCATGCCATATGATAATTATTAACTTTTTGTAGCCTTTGCTGGTCCCATTGGAAAGGGATAAACCAGAATCCAATGAAGTCAAAGTAGCTTGTTCTTTAGGTTACCCTAATAACTTAATGCAATAGTTTACTGTTCAGGTATATAACTGTGTGTTAAGCAAATGTTCATATCTTGATTGTAAGCTTTAGTCCTGTAGAGGCAATTCCCTTGAAAAAGACTCTACTTTAAACTGGGTGGGAATAAAACGTAACATCTAGGATCCAAAGAACAACTTGAGGCGTCAGCAAATGGGCCTTTGATTTTTGTGCTCCTTTATTTTCCTTTGGAACAATAACCTCCCCGCATTTTATTGCAATCTGCTTTTGAAACTCCCGGCAGTTTCAAAAGTGGTCTGCCATCTGGCATGGAGGACTGCGATTCAAGCAACCCAACTCCAAAGCCTCCTTGGGCTTGTGGAACTTCTTGCGCTCTTCTTTGGAGCTCAGCCAGTCATCTCTTTCCTACACAGCAGCTGTTGTTGTTTGCTCACATGGTGCTTTGCAGCCATTTTCTGGGTCCCTCTTGCAGTTTCCAGTCCCACTTCATATGTTAGAATTTAAGACATGGGAGCTGACATATAAAGCTACCTTATATTGAGTCGACTAGTGGTCCCTTTAGCCCGGGGTTTGTTTATTCTAATTGGAAGTGGCTCTCCAAGTAGAGGCTGTTCCAGAGAAGGGCTGTGGCTCACTGGCAGAGCATCTGCTTGGCATGCAGGAGGTCCCAAGTTCAATCCCTGGCATCTCCAGTTACAAGGATCAGGTAGTAAATAATGTGAAAGACTGGGAACTTGAAGAGTTGCTGCCATGCAGAATGGACAAGACTTGACCTTGAAGATCAGATTCTGTAAGGTAACTTCATGTGTTGAAGGTCTTTTAACTCAGTGGCCCCTGGCACCCTCCACCTACAAAATGAATGCAGCATTGCTGAGCTATTATCCTTCCCCATGAATGCTCCTCCATCATATAATTTATGAAAGAGAGGCCTATGTTTAAAAGGGAAGGCACATACTGTCGGGATTCTTTTTAAGTAAGTCAGCAGAGTATTAAGAGACTGAGTCCATGGTGTGTTTTAAAATATAAAAGTTTACTATAAACCCAACATGGGGAAAAGGTACACAGGATATGAAAATAACAAAGAGCTAATATGTCTACATCCTTACAGCTAAAAGGTAAAACGGGAAGAGCTGAATGGCGTCTCCTTCTCTGGTCAGAACAAAGAACGGGAGGAGAAACCAATATGCTAAATACTTGACACACTGGTTTCCAATCAGACTAGCAAATTAGCTCCAAAGTTCCCAGGCATTCTCTTGTCTAAACAGATTGGTTACAAACAAACATGTGACTTAACAAACATCATTAACCCTGTAAATACTGAAGTGTTTTGACTTGTAACACCCAACGCACACACATGGCCAAGAAAGGATCAGAAATGTATTTGCTGGCAAAGGCTATGGTGTGAATCTGTTTACTTCATTGGCATGTAGCATCGTGGTGCCTTCTGCATTTTGTGCTCAGAGATCTGTTTCCAAGAACACAATCTAATTTCTGAAGCAGAAATTACCTACAGATCTTGAAGGCATTGCTCAAGCTCCCCCTTAGAACAAGGGCTGTCTGTCGCTGCATAACTGTTGCTGTTGTTTTCCTCTTATGTATAAAGCAGCCCTCTGGTTGAGGGTTTGAGTTCCCCTCCTGTTGCAGACTGATTATTTATTCTTAGCAAAAGAGGCTGATAATCTGAAATGCCACACGCCACCCATGAACCAGCCCTGATTGCCTGACCATGTGACCACGGTCTCGGTGGATCAGTTCACACATGTGTGTGCCTCCCTTGACTCCATGCCATGTGATGACTCACATGCTGATTGTGTGAATGGGCGTCATGCAAACATTTTGTGCTTGAAGGGTCATGGGATAGTGCTGCTGAGGTGGTGGCACATTTGGGAAGGCTCATTCACACGTACAAGTTCCCACCTGTCAAATAATCTAAATGTGCACGGATAATCTTCCTTCCTGCATCCTTCTGAAGTTACTGGAAATAGAGGTGCCATTTTTGGTCACTGGGCAAAGCTCCTGTGCCTTTAATAAACGAAGAGCATGCCACAAAAGGAAGTCTTAGTCCCCCCCCCCCCGGCACTACATCTGTGTGGGGGGGTTGAAAGCATCACCTGTTGAATTTCTGCCTCTTCTGAGTAAATTAATCTGTCGTCTACTGAGTCAGACTATTTGTCAGGATCAGTGTTGTCTATTTTGACTAGCAGTGGCTCTCAGGGAGAGGTCCTTCATGTAAACCTTCTACCTGATCCTGGTAGATCCTGAAGTTGCCCCAGGATTGTACCTGGGTTCTTCTGCATGCAAAGGATCCGGGAGACCCAGGTTCGAATCCTCACTCTGCCATGGTTGCTTGCTGGATGCCCTTGGGCCAGTCATACACTCTCAGCCTAACCCAGGTGAGGATAAAGTGGAGGAGGGGAGAATGAGGCGAGCTGCTTTGGCGCCTATTAGGGGAGACATATTTATTTATTTATTTTATTAATTAATTAATTTCTACCTCTCCCTCTCTCCACTCAGGGCAGCTTATAAGCAATTTTAAACCAACATACGGTTTAAAACCAGCAAATGCAAAATATAAAATGCAATTCATACAATTTCAATAAATAAGTCAGTAAGTAATCAGATTCATGAAGTCAGTAAGTAATCAAATATCACGGAGCTATGGCTCCTGTGCCGAATATACAGGTCTTAGGCACAAGAGCCTTGTCAGAAAAAAAAGACGGTAACCCAAGTTGAGACCGCTGTTCTTTTCTTCCTTTAAAAAGAAAAAAAGAAATTGAAGCCTTAGACGCCAGCAGACGGCCGCCTGCGATGATTTCCCCTTGAGTCGACGGGCATAAAAGGATTCTGAATCGTGCCGCAATTCGGACGATGCCGCGGAAAGTCCTTTGCTTTGCTTTGACCCTCGCCCCGTCGAAGTCTTCCAGGAGAGCAGAGGGACGTGCTCGAAGAAGACCTTGTATGGATTTACGGAGCTATCCCGCACACTCAGTCACTCCCGATCTGATCCCGTTGAAATTGGCAGGTTGCGCTTGGAGCGACTGTGCGTCGGAGAGCACCGTAAATCTACGCAGGGCTTTCGGACAGATCCGTCCGCTGTCCGGGAAGACTTCGACGGTGTGACGGAAAAGCAAAGAAAAGGACCCGCGAACAGGAATCCCGGCCGTTCCCGGAATCCGGGGCTCCACATAGGCTTGTTCCCAGAGAACTACAACTCCCAGCATTCCGAGCGGCAAGCGCGCCCGACTCCGGCGGCTACCTGCTCTCCTCTCCTCTCCTCTCCGAAGCCGCCTTTGGCAAGTCAGTCGGTGGGAGTTTAGCGCAGCCAAGCGACCGACTGGAGCCACTTCGGACCGCAGCGAGCAGCGAAGCGCGGCTGCCGCTCGCTCCGCCAGGGCAGCCTCCCGCGCTCGGCAACTTCGGGCTCTTCTTCGCCAAGAGCCCCCGGAGCCGGGAGGAGAGGCGCCTGCGAGGGAGAAGGGGGGAGAAGTCGCCGCCGGAGAAGGGAGATGAGGCGGCTCTGGAGGCTGGGCTCTCCCCGCTTCTTGCCGTCGCCAGCGGACCACGGGAGAGCCGGATCCCCCCCTGGGTCCTCCCTCCTCCTCGACGCGCCCAGCCGCGGTGCCCCCGGGCGGGCTAGCGCCATCCTCCCGCCGGGACTGCATGGCTCTGGCGAGGCGGCTCCCGAGCCCCGGGGCCACTTGGGGGAGTGGTGAGGGCGGACGGCGCGGGATCTCGAGGCGGGGCTCCCCGGGAGCCGGCGCCTAGGCGGCGAGGCGGCTGTCCGTCGGTGCCCTGGCTGATGCCGGCGTTTGGAGCCCCGGAGGCGGCCGGAGTGACTGGGGAGCCCTTCCACTTGCATGGCTGGAGGCGGGAGAGGAGCGCCTAGCGTCGGCGGCGGAGGCTGAGGCGGCGGCGAGCCAGCGGGCTGGGGGGGGAGGAGAAGCGGGCTTCTCCGGGGCGCGCCGGTCGCCTGGCTCTCCCGTGATGTGGAGGCTGAGCGTGTGGTGGCTCCTGAGCAGGGTCTGCCTCTTGCTCCTGCCCCCCTGCGCCCTCGTGCTGGCCGGGGTGCCCGGCTCCTCCTGCCACCCGCAGCCCTGCCAGATCCTCAAGCGGATCGGGCACACGGTCAGGATCGGGGCGGCGCACCTGCAGCCTTGGGCTGCCACGACTTCCCGAGCCGGCGCCGGAGACTGGGAGGCGCGCAATGACATCCCGCTCGCGGGCATCCCTGCCGGAGAAGGAGCCGGGGCAGCCCCCGAAGCGGTGCCGCAGACGCCCGGGACGACGGACCGGAAAGGCTCCGGATGGCAGGGGAGGTGGAGGAGCGGGAGCGGGACCGGCCTGAGGAGCAGGGCGCACTTAGACGCCGGGAACCTCGTCGGCAACGAGAGTCGGGACCGGCGGGAACTCCTGCCCTTGCTGCCCAGGGAGGCGCTCCTGGGGGCCGTGGAGAACCTCAACCGCGTCCGAGGGCTCCTGCCCTACAACCTGTCCCTGGAGGTCGTGATGGCCATCGAGGCCGGGCTGGGAGACCTCCCTCTCTTCCCCTTCTCTTCTCCCAGCGCCTCCTGGAGCAACGACCCGGTCTCCTTCTTGCAGAGCATTTGCCACACCGTGGTGGTCCAAGGGGTCTCCGCCATCCTCGCTTTCCCACAGAGCCGAAGCGAGATGCTGGAGATGGACTTCGTGGCCACCGCTCTGCACATCCCCGTCGTCAGCATCGTGCTCAACGAGTTCCCCCGAAAGAGCCAGGTAAGGACGGGGGGGCGCCCAGCCGGGTCGGAGCACGCCGGGGGCTGTGGGGGGGGGATTCGCGCCACTGTGGATGTTGCGCTGGGAAGTGGTGACGGGATTGGAGGAGGAAACCTGTTAGAGGGAGCCACTATACTATCAATATGTATGTAAGACTTTCAACGAAGTGGGGAGGCTCCAGCGGAGACGGGAGAGCGCAAGCAAGTCTGCTTTGCGCTTAGCTCTAAGGAATCAGCACCACGGACAGCGCACCACCTAAACCGGAGCTTTGCGCTTGGAAGCCAGGCAAAGAAAGACTCCCAATATTTCTCCCTTTCCAAGTTTTCTCTTTGCAACTCGTCTCAATTAAGAACAAAAAAAAAACCACTCACTTGTGCGTTGGCATTTGCTACGGTAGATTTTCTCCCTCTGCTGTTTCCTACCCACTAAAGAGATTAGCTCCTCTTAGCCAAAACGCTTGTGAATCAGGGTGATGGTTGTTCCAGGACTGGTTCCAGAGAATGAGAGGACAGGCTTTTACTTACTTATTTTGGATTCTGAGAATCCACCTAACCCAAACGGGACTGATTGATAGATAGAGCCATTTTGTTTTAACTGTGGTCTGAACGTGTGTGCCTGCTGAAGCCGCTTGTGTCGTTTCTGGAACTCATGAAACTTTTAAACAGCTCAGACTGGATCTCCCTTAATGTATCTGTGCATCTGCTATTCCGTATATCCAGGAATCATTTAATGCATGAGTTAAGGAAAAACAGACTGGTTGTAGCTCACACAGTCAACTCTGAATGTGTTTCACTTGCGCGTACAGACACAGAACAATACAGAGATACATCATAATTGGGCGAGACTGAAATGTCCATTGTTGGATACATTATTATTTGTATCAATATTTATAATTTTACAGCAATGATCACTGCTGCCTTACAGGGCAATCCTAAACCAAGTTATATCCTTCTAAGTCTATTGAAGTCAGTGGCCTTAGAAAGTTGTAACTCTTCTTTGGATTGCACCAGTACTTAAAAAGCAACTTTGGTGTATCCTTTAACAAGGAACTCTTCTGACAGTTTTTGTGTTTGCTTGCTTGCTTGCATTTAGAATATAGGACTGTGGCAGAGCAACAAGCCACAGATTAGAGATCTGACCCATATATCTTTGCCCCAGGGAATTTATGAGAGTAGCCATTTTTAATAGTTTTACCATGTCTTTCCCTCGTTTTCCTCTTCATTTGGTTCGCAGGAGGTCTTATAATCCAAAAAGGCCACTTTAAGTCAGTGAGAGCTATTATTTTCTCCATGGAGAACTGAGGCACATGAGGACCAAGAGTGTAGTCCTATGTACTTTTAGTGAAGAGTAAACTCCACTGTACTCAATGGGACATATCTGAATAGATATGGGTAGGATAAGATGCATTTGCAAGTAACTGACTTCAGGATTATACTTTGTTGGGGAGAGGGTGGCAAAGAGTCAGGGAGAGAAGACAGCATACAAGCTTTTAGATAGAACACTGGTTGTATCTTCTTTCTTTGAAGGTTCATGTCCATTTTACCTTTTTTTTTTCCAGTTTAACAAATCCATATGCCTCGGTCCATGTGGAAGCTGGAAGAAACATTGTACTTTTGCATTTTTCCCCCTTTTTTACAGTTCAGGGCTTGTGACCACTATCAATCAGCCTCTCTGGCATATGTAATAGCCTGCCCCATACCCACGGCTTGCAGTACCAAGCAGGCTCCAAAAAAAGAGAGGCGGGGTAATATGTCCATTGATACATGACTAGTGGGCTGCTTTCAGTGTAGTGAGTCCTCAGTTGGGCAGATGTGCTGCAAGTCCCGTTCGTCTATCCCTAATAAATATACATAAGAGAAGCTGAACTAAGGGAGTGTCACAATCAGAGTGATCTGCTAGTGAGCAGTCTTGCTAGTGGAGAGAAATGGGAAATTTCCTTGGACTAAGAATGCGTGGGAACCTCCTCCCTCCCCAGGCTGTTTGGTTAACTCAGGATGGGGAGTGACTTACTTTGTAGGATGGGGGAGCATCTTACTTTGTAGAATCTGGATTATTTATCTAGGCAAACCATCTGATCTGCAGTTATTTGTAAATGCTTCTTTGCTCCCACTGCTGGCTTGTGTACTTTGGGATCCAGCTTTTAAGCTTGCTTTCTGAAAGACTTCCAGATAGAAAACAATCCTTATTTGGTCTGAGGGCTTCTTGAATGCTGTTCGGCTGATATTTCTTGGGACATTTTCTAGTCTTCATTTCCAGATGATGAGCAGCATAATGTATCTGTGGAATCTTCTCAGCCATATTTAACAGAGTACTTGGTAGAAATGGTGCATGTGTGTGTGTATGTGAGTGAGTGAGTGAGTGAGTGAGAGATTCTCTAGCATGACCAGCCAATGGCACCCATGGTGTAGCAGTTCATTCCAAGCTCAGTTTTCAGGCACCTTGTGGAAAAAAATGAATGGGATGCACTATTGGACATATTTGGTCTCCACCACAGATAGTAACCAATAGAAAACAGGAAGCAAGTGTAGGGCACTCATTAGAGTGTGGGAGTAGAACTGGAAAGAAACATCTTCAATCCACCACTCTGCCATGAAGTTCATTGAGTGGCATTGTCACTCTTTCTCAATCTGACCTACCTCACAGGCTTGTTATGGGTAGGGACATGTATGCTGCCCAGAGGTTCTTGGGGGGAGGATACAATAGGAATGTAATAGACAAAACAATCCTGCTTCTTTTTTAAAAAAAAGATTGTTGCTTGCCTGAGCCAAATGATGCCATTTTCCATGCCTTTCAATCATGCATCATTACATACAGAAATATTATTGCAGAACATTTCATCCTTTGTTATGTGCAGCTGTGCTCTAAGTGCATGCAATATCACAGCAGTGCGGTTGCTAATGGGACTCCAAATCACATGAACATTCAGCTGTGCCACCCAGCCACTTTTTTTTCCATTTGAAGGACTTGTGGTTCAAGCCCCATATAGCCACGGCAGAGAAAACATCCATTATGGAGGTATTTCTCCAATGGTTATGGTTGAGCTGAACCATGTGCACTACCCTCTCAGCAAACAACTAACAACCCAACTGGGACTGAGCTTCCGACTGACAACCACACCATTGGAATATCTATGAACTGGACTTGAGCTTATTAAAAGAATGAAACATTCTGTAATATGTCTGCATGTAATTATACATTTGACATCTGGAACAATGCACACATGGCTGGGGGGGGGGACCCTGTACCTTACTTTACACTGAATTCGATCATATTGTTTCATGAGGCCAGCGTGTGGTTTGCCCTCTCATGATTCCGCATAGACTTTCCACTTTTGTCCTCTATGTGCTGTACAGAGGAAGAGTTGGCACCCTATACAGCCAGGCAGCAAGAAGCTAGAACTGTATATTTAGAACCTTATGAACCAAAATGATGGAGCTGGACTCTGATGCACCCCTTCTGTGACTAATCAGGGATGAGGCAATCGGGTTGACTGTTAAAACGTACGGAAGTGGACGCTGGAAACAAATCTGCGAGCACGTGTTCTAAACAAAGAGGTAATCTAAGGACATAAGTCAGCCTGCTGAGCCAGGTCGGTACCTAGAAGGAAGCAGCAAGAGATCTTATAATATAAGGGTCTACCTTATACAGTCATGTCAATAATGGCTCTTGGAGCTCAGCACTGTCTACTGTGGCTTGCTGTAGCTCTCCAAGGTCTCAGCGAGGGACCTGTCTCAGCCTTTCTGCTTGAGGTGCTTTTCACTGGACACACCCAACAGAAGAGGCTCTGGATTGGACATAAAATGACCAATACAGTAACCTCCCCACCCCTCATGATCTCTGGTGGAGTCACTTTTGGAATACTCTGAGACATTCTAGCTACCTCCTCTCCAAAAGAGCTGAGAAAAGGGTGTCCCAAATGACCAAGGAGCTGAAGTATACTCCCTATCAGGAAAGACTCCAGAGTTTTGAGATTAGGGGGGAAAGTGGGGACATAGAGGAGTTATGGATGACATGGAAAAATTGGACAGAACGTTTCCTCTCTCTTCCAAAATACCAGTGCTGAGGGTTACTCAAAGAAGGTGATGGACAGTAGACTCTGGACAGACAAAAAGAAAAGTTCTTCTTACAAAACGTAATTAACACCTAGAACTCACTGCCAAAACGTATAGTATGCCACCGCTTCCATGACTTTAAAGGGGGATTCGGCACATTCATGATTAGACACATTCATGGGAGTTGACAAATTCAGCGTCTCTTGTGGCTACCCGAAACCTCCTTGTTCGGAGACAACATGCTCCTGAGCACCACTTGCCGGGGAGGATCAGCAGTTGACTTCCTACCCTGCTTGAGGGATCTCTGGAAGCTTCTGCTCACCCAGGAAGCTGGAGGAGATAAATCTTTGGTCTGGTCCAGTAGGGTACTTACATGTCTATGTACTTATGACCTAATACGTACAAAGCACTGCACAATGGGTCACAATTCAGCCTTAGCCAATCTTTCCAGAGGGTCAATTTATAATGCTAGATTGATGAATGTGAAAGGTTTTGAGATATGGAGAGGAGAGTGTAACCTACCGAGCTGTTTTTAATTCAGTCATGAACAGGACACTTCTAGGTGGATAACTATGCTGGTCTGCAGTAGACGAGCAAGATTCAAGTGCAGTAGCACCTTGGAGACCAATACAATTTCCACCGTTTAAGCTTTTTGAGACGCCAAGTTGCCTTCATCAGTTGCCTTGTATCAGATACTGATACAAAATGGGGCAGTGACATTTATTGCCCTTTGCTGCGCATCTCCCGAGTAAGATACAGCTGAGACACTCTCAGGCACTTCCTTGTGGGCTGTGGTTTGCCCTCACCCGCAGCTGCTTCCTTCTCCTGCTCTTCTGCCTGATGCCTGTGCTTCATGGGGCTCTCTCAGCCCCTCAGCTCTATATCTCTCCAGTGCCTCCTCACCAACTGCTCTGTACTGCTTTCATTCACTTCAGCAGACCATACCCC